CAACAGAGCTTCTTAATCCAAAGTATTGATCAGTTTTTATATTATTTTATAGTTATATTAGTTGATGAGATGTTTTAATTATAAATATTTGTGTTTTTATACTAAAACAAGTATAAATATGTTATGATGAGTTGAATGTACAGATTTATTAGTTGGGTTRTTGTGGATGTTTTTACAGTTTCAGGTGGTTTCAGGTTTTGTTGGTCATGCTGACTGGAGGTGTTTCCAGCCGGTTGTCACCAGTTTACAAACCTGTTGGTTTTATTTTTACATTTCATTAAAGAAGAAAGTTTTGAGGACGACTGAGTTCATTAAATATAGAAAGTTTGAGTTTATTTAATGCAGTAAAGACTTGTTTTAAGATAAAAAGGTGTYGAAGTGAAAGAAAGACTTATAAATAACTTTTTAAAATGGGTTCATAATGAATTAATAGTTTTATTTATTAAAGGTTTTCATGTGTTATTTGAAACTAATGTTTACACACACATAATCAAATATAATGTCATTTCTAAGCTTGATTTTTACCAACATATAAAGGTTTTACTACAGTTAATGTAAAAAAAGAGTATATTTAGGGGTTTCTTATCGTTACTTTATGTTTTGGGGGTCTTTAGCTGATTTTTCTCAGTTTTAGTCATTTTTAACACAAATGTTTTCTCAGGAACAATTTGAACTTTCACCTCTGGATCCTGCGTCAAAAAGCGAAACTCAAGATCTGATCTGACACAAAACTATTTAAAGTGTTTTATAAAACTATAAATGTGTTGTTTTCCAGGCTTTTCCGATGGTTTAATGATGTTTTTTCAGGTTTAATAGTTTCTCAGCACCTGTCGCTTCAGCTGATTTAATACATCAGTTGTTGATTTGGTTCATTTTGAAGAAGCTGGAGATGTTTTAAACTCTGTTTTATTCCAGACAAACGGTGAAAAACAAATCACATTTTTAACATCCAGGTAGTAAAATCTTGTAAAATGAGTGTTTTTATCAGATTTATTTCAGATTTAAACACTTAATGTTCCTCTTGTTGGATCCTGATGTGTTTTATTGTGAAATAAAACAATAAAATCAGAAAGAGGCTGAGCTCTGACCCTCGTCAGACGGAGGTTTTAAAGCTGCAGGTTTTCTCTCKACCTGTGATAAAATCAGATGTTCGCTGCTTCCTGTTGATGATGATGAAAGCAGGAAGTGGCTCTGATCTCAGCTCTGTTTTTCCTCTGCAGATCGTCTCTACTTCGCCACCTTACGCAGCAAACCCAAGAGCACAGCCAACACGCACTACTTCTGCACCGACGACGAGTTCGTCTACGAGAAGTAAGTCGTCGTCGTCTCTGACGTGACTTTAAGGTTTGAGTCGTGGTTCAGAGACCAGAGTTAGTTTTTCCACTTTGTTCTGACAGTGAAAGTTGTTGACGAGGAGGAAACGGTTCAGACCTTCTCTCCTCTGTCCTGCAGACCTGGGGGGTCTAACCTGTCCCCTCCTCTCTGTGTCCACAGCTTCTACGCAGACTTCGGCCCCCTGAACCTGGCCATGCTGTATCGATACTGCTGCAAGCTGAACAAGAAGCTGAAGGTGAGTTTCTGCTGCTGTGGACTCTCCCTCTGCAGGAATGTCCAGAATGTGCAGCGGGACAGACGCAGCAGCAGGTTCCTCCGTCCCCCGCGCTGTGTCAGCGTTTGTTTAGGCTGCTGCCATGGCGCTGAGGTTCCTCCGATCGTCACCTGTCCTCCGTCAGGACAACCGGACGGTCTGGATTCAGGTGTGGAGCTTCAGGCTGGCAGCTTGATTTGATGAGCTGCTGACAGAACCTGATCTGAACAGAACCAGTTGAAATGAGGAGGATCAGGGTTTCCCTCAGTACTTTATGRACCTGTCGGACCACCAGGCTTTACTTTACAATTCAAAAACTGTACTCAGTTCTTTCAAAAATAACTACAATAAAAAATACACAAAATAAAATGAAAGTTAGCAGAAGAATAAATCTTACAATGTCTGCCCTTTTTCCCCAGAATAAATTCAAACAAAACATAATTTACAAAACAATATAAATAAAATAAAAACATCAACTCAAACAAAAACTCATATCTTCATGTTTTACTTTTCATATACTGTACCTTCAGAAAACTAGTATTTATCTGTTTTTAAATATATACATAGATCTGGTATTTTTAAGATCATCCTCCAGATAATTCCATAATCCTATACCCTGGATTAGACTATACCCTGGATTAGACTATGCCCTGGATTAGACTATACCCTGGATTAGACTATACCCTGGATTAAAGTACATCTTTCTCTCAAGCAAGTAT